CATTCTCTCTAATATCTTCCTTGTGCTCGCGCGACATTCGTTCACAATATTTTCTTTCAATTGGTCTAATGGACGCGACTTTGTTCTGTACACTCGCCGCTTCAGATAGCCCACTAGAAAAATGTCCATGGGGTTCAAAACTGGTGAGCTAGCAGGCCACTCGATTGGTCCACCGCGTCCGGTCCAATGGTGGCCAAATTTGTCAGTGACCTAAGCATGCACCGTTTTAGCAGAATGTGCAGTTGCACCATTCTGCTGTCACCAAATGGTACTGCATGCACTTCGGCCTCCAACTGGAGAAACACAAGTGTCTGCAGCATTTCCTAGTACGACGATGCTAGGAAAAGATAAGGCTTTGGTATTTCAAACCACCAACCTACCGGTCACATTCCCGAAAAAGAAATCTGGGCCCATTTATTTCTGGCTTGCTAATCCAGCCCAAAGCATCAGTTTCATACTGTGGTGCAATCGTGATCCGGTAAATTTTCGTGGGTTTCTGGTAACCCAAGGCTAATGTTTCATTGTTCCATGCAGTTGGAACAAGACCGTATTGGTATAGATAACGGAACGAATATACCAGTGAATCAGAAATCAGCGGCAAAATTCATGCCGCTTCTCCGGATCGAATGGATTCAACACCTGCACTTTAAGTGCATGGAACCTCCGAACTTTGCGTTCCAGTAATATCCGGTGTACCGCATATCGGGTCGTGTCACAGTGCTGCGTGAATCGATGAATGCTGATATTTGGACTTTTTGACAATTTCCCCCCTAGCTGAAGGGTCGTCATCACAAACACCCAGTTTGCTCGAACTTATTCACTTGTTTAAGCACGTTCCGTGCGGTGACGGTACGCATACCTGCGTTCATTGCATTGCATTTCCTTGAAGTTGATGTGGCGTTTAAAACGCATTCACTGTACACCAGAATAATCAGCCCGTGCTGGGTAACAGGCACTTTACGCGATCCCGGCTACATTGTCTGCTTGTGCTCCATTACCTGTGATTCAATAACATTGCCAAGAGTTGCAATGCCTAACCTCGACCTCAGCTGAGATACCAACACGTGTGCACATTCACACCGCAGTGTTGGTTGCCTACGCCAACGAGAAACACACAGATAACCATCGATCGCTCCAACGCCTACGGTTGGCCATGAACTTCAGCACTCAGCACTCAGCGCGAAGTTAGCTGAAATCTAACGGACGCCAGAAACTTGTTGTGGCTCTCTGTACTAATCTCGCTCGATTATCGAACCAGCCTCATGTCGGTGTGTCTTTGCCACGTTACGCCTACACTCAGCTGAGCCCTACAGTAAATCACTCGTCCGCCGCGAATTTCATACGACCTGACCACTAAGGTGAGAGAGAAATTCATGTTTCTGCAAGCGCAGTAGACTTTTGCGCATTTCGTTAAACACTGGATGGCTATTGGATGTTGGAGCCAACATCCGTAAATGACGGGCGTTCACCATTAGCGAGCAACGGTATGTAACTGAACACGGTCATCGGCCCTCTTCCTTCCGTCTAACTCTATATTGCTGATCTGCCGAAGTTGAGGATGTGTGTTCCTTTACTTATGTTTGCTCATATCCCAACACGAGGTATTATGGCGCAGGAGATAATGCTGCGTATTCTAATATCGCCATCCTTTCTATGATTTTTACCACCTCATTAAAGCACCAATCCTCCGTTTGGCCACCATTCCCCTAGACGTACTAATTGCAGCAACTAGCCTGCCGGTTTTTCTGCTGGCTTTTTTATTTCAGTGCTTCTTAAGCCACAGCCAATTTCCTGCCATATGACATCTTGTAATTTGAACACAAATTTACAATGTGGAAGCAGAACCCAAGCTACAAGTCACGGCGAATTTTCCCCTATCCCTAAATTGCCCATGGTTATGGAATCCAACATAGACGACACTCTATTCCACTGGTTGAAAATTTGGGAACTTGTTATTTCTGAAAAGCATGATTTCTGTCTAAGTTATTCGTGCACAGATTAGCTGGACCCAGTTAGCTTGAGCTGGATGTGATGTTGATCCGATCTACCTGGAATTCTGAAAAGCATTTGACCGTCCAGATAATCAGATACTCCATTCCAAGCAGAATCTTTACGAGTTCGGTGACCCTATAATAAGTTGTTACGCCAACTACCTCCTTCAGCTGCAATTTGTGGTCCGAGCTCCTTCTCTGACTGCATACAGGTTAAAGGTGGTGTGCCTCAAGGCCCGTTGCTGCGTCCCTGATAGTTTTTGGCATGTAGCAATGATCTCACACAGGCAATTACATCTAACTTCCTGCTCTCAAATTCTTGAAATATACTTGAAACCGATCGAGTAGTCATGAGTTCAAAGAGGTTTAGAAACAATCGATTGTTTCCATACCTTTCTGAACTCATAACTTCCTGCTGTTTGCCGATGAATTCAAGATATGGCACCAAGTTCAGGGGAATACTGCCCAGCAACTACTTCAGAGTGATCTAGAAACGGTACATTAGTGGTCCATCCAAACTTCAATGAAGTCCAATGAGAGCATATACAAAGTGCTTTCCATACGATACCAGAGCAAATACAGTATCAAGCTCCTAACGCATGTGCTGCAGCAAACTGCCACCAAATGTGATTTGGGCCTACTAGTTCAGGATTATCTGGGTTATTTTAGGCAACCTGAGTAAGCCTCCAAAACTGGTAACCAACATGTGAGCCTATTACGTTTGGCGTTCAGACAAATAGATGGCTCTATTTTCCGGCAGATGCTTAATGATGATGTCCGTTCTCATGTCGAATATGTAATTCAAGCCTGGCGCCCATGGCTAAAACACGCTCTTAGTGCATTCGAGCAGCCCCAATGTTGAGCATCAGAGTGGCTTATTGGCATGCACCATATACTACACTAGGAAAAGTTAGAATGATTGAGGGTATTCGGTGGACTTTACCGCCGATTACGAAGTTACTTGATAATGGTGTGCTTAATTTTGCATGCTCCACATCATGTGTGTCACTCTTTACAGCAAGTCAGCAGTAATACCAACTTGAAAATTCACTCACTACAACTGGTAGAACAGTACAGCTGTCTGGATTGCTGCAGGAAGTTCTTTTTCTTCCGCGTGTGTCACCCATGGAAGGCATTTCCAGAGTCGGTCATTTTTGCACCACCACTATCCTTATTTAATAGCCGTTTGGAGGACTCACTTGCTCACGTAAGCTTTATTACCTAGTATTACATCTCCATCCCACTCCTGGAATATATGTGGGATTTAGTCGCTGTTACATGTTTCTGCTGTGAAATTACACGGATCGCATGGCTACAGCGAAACAGTCGACAAGTCCCGTGTTTAAACATAAATAACCTGTAGCTTTTATTTTTCGGAAACCCTGCAAAAACTACCCAGCGGGATAAGGAAAGTATTGCTTCTTAACCCGTGTAAATTAATTGTTCATTTGCTATTGTTTAAATTTTGTAGGTTACTGGCAAGTTTAAGGTAATTGAGAAACTTGGAAGATTTAATGAATTCAGATTTTATTCAATGTTCAAGTAAAGTAATGTCGTCATCCGTAGAACCGTCCCTATGTGACCTGCTTCCATGCAAGGCGTTCTCTAGAAAGGTTTCACCAGCGCGTCCATGCTATCTGGCTGATAGATCATCCAACCTCTGAAATAAGTAAACATGAGGTCTCTGCTTGTGATAGCAGACACCAGTCTGCTAAATTATCTGTCAATCAATTCGTCTTCACAGTTCCCACCAAATTTGGGTATCAAAAGCATGTAATTTATGGAGCGGCGGAAGGTCAAAGGGCGTGCGGAGTCTATAGCCTAGCCAAACTAAGTGAAAAAGTTCGAAATGAATTGGAATATTGGTAGCTCGGGAGGCTTGCTCAGTTGTTGTGGAGTTCTCCGAGCTGGGCAACTTGGTTGCAGACGTTTCGCCACCATTCGTGGTGGCATCTTCAGTGCGGGATTGATAGCAGTGAAGTAGCAGTAGCTGATAGAAAGCAAACCCAATAATGGGTCATTGCAACGTTGGATTGTTTGATCAAGTAATTAGCATAAATATGACATTCTATGTCTATCGAGGCAATAAAGTATGGCAACTAAAAGATTAGTTAACTCAGGCATGCTACAGACGGAGACATAACGTTATTCTCTTTGAGATCCGTCTGCTTTTTGAAATATATGCTAACTGAGTGTGGACAAATGATCATTGTCAAACGGATGAATAACCATATTTTCCGTAAGATTGTGTTCACTATTAGAATGGCATGAGTGGTTCCCTGCAGATGAGACCTTCCTGTTCATTTGTTCTCAAACGACATCTAGCTTTGGAATAAACATGTAGAAACGATTCTGCCTTGTAGTCTTTATTAGCTTTTAGTGAATCCTGACTGCATCCTTATGCTCATAAACTCGTTGGGACTAGAATTTGTTTCCGCATTTGGGAATTAGCAAAATCCTCTGAGCCAAACTCATCAAATACACGGCACTAGAGGCACAGTAACAGAATCCACCCCATTTATGCCACCGATTTCTCAGCGCATGGACGCTTACTAATTATATTCTTGTTTATCCAGACTCCATTCTCTCTTGTCTTATTCAAGACGAGGGCCAGGAATCTGCTATGTACCCGCGCTACATGTAAGTATTCAGCAGCGGTGGGAGATACATTGCTTGCGCGGTTACTACAAGGTGGTTGTGTATAATTTTCGCTGATCAGTATCCTAATTTGCAATAAAAGCAAGTCCATTTGTGTTGCTTGTCCACTTACTGAGGATACCCAGGTGCATAATGCAAAACGTTAATAAGTAAAATATTACACAAATCAAATTTTCGCCGGAATATTTCTGAATGTATGAATTCTCGGTAGTTTCAAAGCAGATATTTCCAGATGTTGAGACATGCTTTTGACTATTGCCACTCATAACAATTGATTGGTTACATAAATCGGTCGTTTTCGGCTTTTCGAATTACAATTGCCAACAAATACCTTTAATGGCTGCCTTACAGATCAGGAGGATACAGATCCTAACTTATTCCAAAAGAATGTAACGTTAAAGAATAATAGCATGGTTACAACGGACTACATAATTGGGGAATACCTTGGCAGGTGAGCAATGTGTTATTTTTGTTTGATCAATAGACGCTGCAGCTTTTCCAATACGTAGTTCTTTAGTTACTAGGACCTAAATTCTGAATTATTGTTGCTAGCATTTATTTGGTAAGAAGTACTTAAAGTAAGTCTACGTTTTCATTGGTTTACTGATATTTCAGCAGGATTTTGTATTCTTCTGCGAGTTAACTAGCTACACCGTGTACCTTATCACATACACTTTGGAAATAATTTGCACAGGCATGTTATATTGAAAGCCAGATATCAGATATGCCTAGGATGGGCAATCGTAGTCTATAGTTACTTATCATGCATTGTGGTTACAATCTTAAACCAATTCCGTTCAGCATCGGCCGACAAGTCGGTTGCTATTAATTTGCAATAAATCTTATGATCAATGGCCCAAAAGTTGATTGATTAGTGTAAATTGATTGCACGGTATTCTAGTAGTAATAATAGTTTATCTTGGTAGTAGTAGTAGTAGTAGTAGTAGTAGAAGTAATAGTAGTAATTGTTGTTAAGGATGTATCAAGGTTAGGTTGCTAAACGACTAATGGAGCTGTGATTGGAGTTCATTGGGTGAATTACCATCAAATGGCCCGATGCCAAACCAGTATTAATGCGCACAATTAGGTCTGAGGAAATAACTAGGCCAAATTTGTTTGCAGTGTTCATCCCACAAATATGCGTATTTCCGTTTTTAAGACTAAACAGTAATGGGCTTTTCTTGCGGGTATAAACGTTAATTTGATTTTAACTATCCACACATCGATCGTTATATTTTGACCACGTAGTCACGCTGTGCTGCCACACTCGACCTCGACTCACGCTTCATCCGCGTTGCTATTCCAAATATTCTCACCTAAACTTATGGGTAGCTCTTTCAAACCAGTTTTGCCGTAGCTAGTGATTGCTTCCCACCACTTGGAACTAATTGGTTTGCATCATATTTTTGCTCCAGTTCATAGTCTTGGCACATTCTTTGCATCCATCTACGCATACAACTATATAATCCCTGAGCTGTTTATAAACAACTTTGTTTACATTCGAAAGATGGACTGAGCAATCGTAGACGACCGTACAACCATCCCTGAAGTCTGCCGCATACCAACTTACGGGAATCTTTGCTTCCTTCATCCACTAAACTTTGGGTCCAAGGCAATTAGAGACGCTTGTCAGCGCCCCGTTTTCTCCGTTGTGCAACGAGAGCTGATCCATACACACCGTGTCTTCATGTGGGTGCGTGCGCGTCATTGCGGGACAAACCATCGCTAAATTCAAAAAAATATGCACGCGAACGCGATAGTCAGTGAGACATCCATCTGTCCCGTCAAAATGACCTTGGAGTGGGAACAATAACTAGTGTCCAGAATTGGATTAATGTTCAAAACAAAGTTCATGTAACCTGATGGTTGTGCGGTGTTGACTCGCAGTGCCTAAAGGCGCCAGTGCAATATGCAATCAAACATACAACCTACTACTTCCATGTTTAGAAGGCTCCACTTAGTTCCATACCAACTGTGGGAAATTAACCCATTCAAGTTCGACAGCAGGCAATGATGACAGAAGTAATTGGGTGCCAAAATAGCTTCACAGGAATAAACACAACAAAATACCTTACACTAGTCTCTCCAATAAACTCCAACGCTAGCCAATTCCGCAACGCTGGATATTACACTAAAGAAGTTCCTCCTGCAAACACTGCCGCTGCTTCGAATCGCCTGATCATTCCCGTAACATTTATTTTAGCCCGTTTGCAACAAGTTATCACAAACCCATTTCCTTTCAAAAAGGCTTGCCAAAACCAGAGGAATAGGTCAACATCATCGTCAGCTTGGTCGTGGTTGGATACAAGAACATTCAAAAATCAGCAGCTGCAGTTGCAGCCACCAGACGAAAGACTGTGAGAGCCAGCGCCACACTGGTACGGGGCAGACCGCCTAGTCTCCTAATTACGACCAATAGTCCTCTTAAAATCTCTCAGAAACAGCGGAATGCTCCATCCACTATTTATATCCACTGTTGAGAATCAACCACAAATTCATTAAAATGAAGGCAGAAAGAGGACGTGAGCCAATGACACACCGTAAGCAAACAGCTTGGTGTTCTGGCTATGTTCACGGATGTCGCCACGTTCAACCTTCCCAGAATTCCAAGCACTATGGTAAAGCTAGGTTTCGTCAGATTGTGCTCTAAACTGTCGCAAAGGCAGAAGCATTGTTTCTTTTGTCTGTTCGTCTCCAGACGGGATTCTGTTCGGTCCGCGTATTTCCAGCCGTTTTATGAGGCAAGCGCAAGGGATAAGTCAAGGCTTAGAAGAGTTCCACCTAGACACCGCAGCCAAAATCCTTTTTGTCAATTTACTTCCGGCAATCTCGTGAGCATGACGAAAAAGGATCATGGGATAACTAGCAAAAGCAGTGATAGTCTGCTCTTGAACGAGGTTGTGGATTCTTCCCTCTCAAGGCTCCCAAGACCAGCAAGCTACAAACAGTGCAGCCCAATGCTAACCAAGGTTGTGCCACAAATTAGGCAGAGGACACTTAGGCAATTACCACGATAGCAGTCACTTCGTAACAGGCTATCAATCAAACTCCGTTTCTAGGTGACGGACAAAGCTATCATCCGGCTTACAGAGCCCCTTTCGTAGGCAAACGATGCTTGGACACCATTCTAACTACACACTGGTGGCTTGCCTGATAGAAGTGACGTCCTCCTATGCACTCCTATACCATTGCAATGAGGCTGAACCTTACCGTGGTGTAATGGTTTTGCGTCTAAGCGATCCATTAAGCTATGCTGAGTGGTGCTCCTGCACCATCAGATTCACTCATACCAGATTGGTCAATGCATAGATTCCAGAGGAACTCAGCCTCTTGGTCCTCCAGGTTCGGGATTGGAATGAAGTGGCTTCGTATTCTCTAAAACTGGCTTCTTATAGCCCAACGCCAAATCCGCTGCCTTCCGATAAGGTTTTTAAACCAAAGGATTTGGTTGCGAACCCTAATCGTTCTACTGTTTAGGGCTGGACTACCTGAGAGTACCCTGTCCCCGCAATACAATGAATCTCCCTTCAAACAGTTTCTTGATGCTCTGGCCACCGCAGAGAATAATCAACTGTGACCTATCTGCTGCATCGGGCAGGGTGGATAGGGGTTTGGATGTTACTGCTCAAGCCTTCCCGTCTTCTTATTCCCCCTTTTAGGCATTTTCACTCTTACCGTCCCCTTCCAACTTCACTTATATCCCCCCAGTTTTAAACCCCCGATACTTGGCCCTCCCCCATCAAGCTTTGCTAGGCATTTATCTTCTAATTTCAACTCACATGCTAACGCGGGGCATCACTCCTCTCCCGTCGACAAGCCCATGTCCAACCAACCGGTCCATTCCAGTTCACCGCCTTCCATGTGGAGCCATCAATCTTCCTTCAGCTTAACATGCCTCAATGTACGCACATTACTACAGATCGGACAACAGGCAGCAGTTACCCGCACGTTAAAGACCCTCTCGATCGATATCTGCTGCTTATCAGAGATCACCCTACAAGACAAGGGATCCATTCCCACTCTGTGATCCCCTTCAGGTGACGTAAGAAGTACTTTCTCATTGCGCCTATCCTGTAATGATGCAGCTTTGAGCACCGGCCAACCTGGTGTTGGCATTGCCCTGAGACCCCGGGCTGAAGCTGCTCTGGTTGATTGGATTCCAATCAGTAGCCGGATGTGTGCGGTCTGATGGGCTGGCTCGTTTAAAGCTTCGAAGTCGCACAGGACTAACAGGTGTCCATTCATCATCGCTGCCTACGCATCCACAAACTGTAGCCATGATTCGGTAAAGAACGACTTCTACCGCCAACTGATCCAGCTCCTTTGCCACGGAAGAAGCACGGACACTGTTGTGCTGGCGGGGGATATGAACGCACAAGTTGGAAAGTTGTCCACTGATGAAAGGCATCTGGGTGGCCAACATGGTGTAGGCTCCCTGTGATGATAACGGTTAACGGTTACTACATTTTTGTGAAGATGCCCGCTTATTTCTTGCAAACACTGACCTCCGACACAGCATCCGCCGGAGGGTGATTTGGCGCCCACCAGAATCGAACCAGCCTTGGACGCAAATCGATCACATTGCCACCAGTTACCGCTGGAGATGCTGCGTCCATAACTGTCGCTAGATTTGGAGCACATGTGTGGACACCGATCATGCACTTGTATGTGCTGATCTGCGGATGCGTTTTGGCGGACGCCCACGACGACGCTGTGAGCGTATTGACACCAGCCAACTGACAAAACCAGCTGTTCTGAATGCGTATCGAAATACGCTAACATGCGAATTGAGTAAGCGCTCACAGGAGACAATTGATGGTCACTGGTCACATGTTCGCCAGACCTTAATAGCAGCAGGCAAATCCTCATGTGGTATGTCTAATAGCCAACATGGATATTGGGCCTCTTCGCATTCTCTGGAACTTTCGATGCTCGCCGGCATTTTCCGGCTGGAAGCGAGCACAATGAAACTCGCAAAGAGCTCCGGGCTAAACTCCCTGCTAGCCTGAAGAGGAGATATCGCGAATCTTGGTGGTCTCATCGTGCGTCAGAAATGGAAGTGGCCGCTGCCCGTTGAAAATACCTAAGTTATTCTGGCTGATACGGGAAACGGGCAACAGGAAGCATGGTGTTAGTGAAACTAAACTTGACGAATGTGGACAGCAATCCACAATTTGTCATAACGTTTGGAGCGTTGGGCTGAGCATTTTGTAAAGCAATTAGTCGGCTTGGATTATTCAATTCTTCGCCAGCCAGTGATCACGCTGCTCCGTGAGCTGTCCCTTTGGATCCACCCTCTCGTTCAGAAGTCTAACGTGAGATCGGACTGTTGAATTTGCAAACACAATACAAGCAGAAACACAGACACATTTATATACATGGAAAAATATTGGCACACCAATGAAACTGTCAAAATCAAGACCAAGACAATCTGCTTGATTGCCTCAAGAGTTTAGGTGCACATAACACAAGTTGATAAGCTCTAATCAGCAACGCCTCACTGATTGCCAACCTTAGCGGGTTCCTGTTACGTAATAACACATTGAGCGCATTATTGGGGTTCACATGTGGACTAGTTGCCAAGAGGTGTTTGGCGATAGATGATGACGGACTCCAATTCGTTCTGTGGGGCTTTCCGTTCTGTTGTGCTATCATTTGTTCAACCAAATTTGGCAAGTGCTCAGCCACCCTCTGACCTAACCGACGGTCCTGAAGAACCAGTCAGAGATACCCTTCGGCTAGTTGGGCCTCTCATGTGGTTTATCAATTCACCTGCAGTTGTGGTGATGTTTACATTGGCAAGACTAACCTCGGTTGGCTCAGAGGGTGGCTGAACACTTGCCAAAGTGTTGAAAATGAATAAAGCCGCAGGACGAGATGATCTACCTTCAGTCCTCTTCAAATTCGGAGACCTGCTGTTGTGGATTATATATACAGGTTACTAGTGAAACTGTGGGAGCAGGAAACTGTCCTAACCGATTGGAGCCGTTCCCTCATAGTCCTAATTTTCAAGGGAGGCTCATGATCGGAATGCGGCAACCATAAAGTAATCAGTCTGCTCTCAATCGCTTCCAAATTACTCGCCTCCATAATTCTTCACAGACTGACTGACGCTGGTGAAAGCCATATTCGTAAAGAGCAAGCCGGGATTCCTCGGGGTCGTGGCTGCATCGACCACATCTTCACCTTGCGTCAGTTGTTGAAGCACCGTCACGCATACTGGCGGCCCACCGTAGTCTGTTCCTCGACGTCAAAGGCGCCTTCAAATGTGTTGATCGATGTGCCCTTTGGAATTGTGTACTCAGGAAAGGTGTGCTCGGAAAATATATAAATATTACCCAAGCATTATACGCGCGTAACTAAGGCAGAGTGAGGGCTTACGGCAAGCTGTCGCCACCCTTCAATGTCTCCAGCAGTGTGAAACAAGGATGCCCGCTGTCACCTTTCCTCTTCAACTTTGCTATTGACGAAGTGCTGGAGATTGCATTTAGAGGACATGACTTGGAAGCTATGGAGCTACTCCATAGCTACTCCATAGCTACTCCATAGCAGCTACTTTCTGACAGCATGCAGACGACATTTCTCTCATCTGTGACAGCTCCCAGACGCGCCAAGCCGCGCTAGACAGCTTGGCACTGGCTATCAGCCGCTTCGGGCTTTGCTTTGCACCACCGAAATGCAAAGGGTTTCTCCAAGATTGACAGGGATCGTCTCATGCGCTGACCCTTGGTGGGGATCGGCTAGAAGTCGTTCGGAAATACAACTACCTGGGAAGTCGTAACAGTGCCCGTGGGATCGAAGACGAGATCACGAACCGTATAGTGAAAGCTCGAAGTGCTGTTGCTAACCTTCACCACCTATGGCGGCGGCGCGACATTACTCTTGCCCTGAAGATTAGAGGCTAGTTACGTTCGACCATCGGTGCCTTCGCAGTTTGGCTCACATCTGGTGGAAACACCGCATGAGCAACGAGCGTGTTCGACGCCTTATTTGCAGCACAGAAAAAGTAAATTAACCGCTCAGCACCGTTATTTCGCGCACCAGGCTCCGATGGCTGGGCCACTTGTTGCGCATGCCAGCCCACCGACTCCCGCGACGTGCGTTGTTTGCGCGCTGGGGGTGTGGATGAAAGAAGAGGAGGAGTGGCCAAGCGACGACTTGGTCGAGAGGAATGAAGGCCCTCACTTCTGAGCTGGCCTCGGTTGGAGCGTCACGGCTCCCTGCCTGAGGTCCAAAAGACGGTGAACACGTTTGACTGGATACACTTGCTGACATGGCAGGGAGCCGACCTCAGTGACGTTTCTGTTGTGAGTTTCTTTGTCGCTCCCCTTCCCTTTTAGCTTACCTTCCACCTACGATCTCATTTCGTAGTGTAAAACATAATAATAAAACATGACATAACATAACGTAAAACATAATAATAATAATAATAACATAATGGTAACATAAAATAACATAAAACATAATAATAATAACATAATAATAATAATAACATAATAATAATAATAACATAATAATAAAAATATTAGTGAGTTCCAGCCCAACTCAGGCTATCTCCAACTGATGAATCCCAACCAGGAGGAAACCGCGGTCTTGGGGTGCCAGTGTTGGCATGAGCAACACTACACTTTTCATAATAATTTTTCCTTTTTATTTGTAGCCGGCTGGTAGCTTACCGGAACGATGCCTATCCGTTGCTGGTAGCTCATCTGGTATGCAACTGTTGTATTTATTTTCCTTTTACTTTATGTATTGCGGCACAGTAGCTGAGGTGTTTCCCACCTCTAGCTGACGTGTATGATGATGATGATGGTTTCCAATGACTGGCATTACGAACGAACACTCAAGAGAACTACTCGCGGGGTTAATTGTTCCACCTTCTTGACATGTTGCGTCCATTACGCATCGTGACCTCCCGAGTGAAAGTCCATTGGAGAGGAACTCGGTGGATTTTATGAAGCTGGAATAATGATGAAGAGATCCAGTAGATGATGACATTAGCAACGATACCACCGACTGACGTAGCAGATTTGCGTATTTCGCTACGAACGTGTGCCCATTGTACCCCAATACGTGAGAACAGTAATTTTCTAACTTATGTAGTTAACCCATCCTGAAAGTTGACGAGAATGCTTGAAGTAGTATGCTATGTGGTACCAAGTCTTTTTAAGAAAAGCTCTTGGGTGCTACCAAATTTTAGCACACATGAACATGTGATCCGAAGTAGCACAAGTATTTCGGATTGATTCGCTTTCCTTTACGCAGTCACATCATTGGTAACTGATGTTTATGTAGTCAACCTGGATCCATGCATAGGCATGGGAGAAATGTTGTGGTAACCCAGTGAGTAGCGCTGCTACTGCGCGCGCGCGTGTGGGAGATGCCGGTATGATCAGTGGCTTACGTTAAGTACCGTGTGAATGTGCCATCGGGAATAGTTGGTGGGGAAACTAGCGGTAACGTCATATGGGAGTCTTGCTAGCTGGTTTCAGTAAGGCAACAATTATGGATGGTGGAAGCATTCAGATTGGGAGAACTGGCGCTGAAATTGTTTAGCTAGGCTAGTGGGCCCCACACCAGCTCATTTTGGCCTGGTGTACGAAACTGATAATCCCGGAATGTTCAATGGTTACTGCGTCGACATCAGTTCAGTCTAGCTAAACAACTATGATCTGGGCACCGAAGTGCGGAGGATCCAGATGACACGACTCGCCTCACCAGAATAACAATAAGTAACAACGGTAAGACGATGAGGTTCAAAGCAAATAACAGGAAAATGAAATCAGGACCGAATTAAGCAAATCTAATCGTGTACTGTATAGAAACTATATAACAGATTGAATACCGAAATTGCCAGATACAAACGGAAACCTGGTATGCAACCTGTGCGGTTACGATTGCATGATATTTTCAAATATCATTCTTCATTGCATTTTAACTATAGTTTACTTTCCACGCTCTAGTGAGTTATAATTTTGCTAAATTATGCGAAATGCTTGATGCCCAACAATAACAATGCTCTTTTGTCGTTTTAGTGGCAAATTTGGTGAAGTCAAACGATGTGAAGAGAAGAGATCTGGAGGTGAATTCGCCGCCAAATTTGTTCCAATTGCATCCAAAGATGACCTGGACAGTGTACAGAATGAAATCGCTATAATGAACAAACTCAGACATCCACGTCTTATTCAACTTTATGATGCCTATCAGTATAAAAACGAAGTGGTTATGGTTTTGGAACTGTGAGTACAATCCACGCTTGCCATTACTTTAAACATGGGAAACTTGCTTTTACGTCCTTGCTGTCCACTGAACTAACAACGCGGATTTTCGTGGGATCTAACACAAAAATCTAAGTTTTAATTCGTTTATTACCAAACGATCCAGCCCACGATAATAACCATGCTTTGAACGTGATAGTCTAAATTTCCTCGGCTTTCGTAATTTATAAACCTACGTGACTTGAATATTCATATTTTCAAGGGTATTTAGTAAACCAGTACAATGATCACTATCATTCCAAAGAAACAACACTAAGCATTAGCCGAGTAAACGCTAGTTAATTTTCTTGATGAAAGTAGATCAAAAATACTATGAGACATAGCGAAAAATGGTAAATATATTGAGGTTCTGCGCTCCATGATGGCAGAATAAAGATTTGTATCTATCTGTATCTATCTTACTGTGGTATGATTTTAGAGGAATTGAGCTTAACACTCACTTTTAGTATATGCTTCTTGTAGGTATTTAATTTTAAAACCAAGATTACACAATTCGGTGACACTTAATCGTCGTGAATTATGAGCCGATCTATATGTATTGGCTTTTAGCCTAGTGAAGCTAATGAGATATAACCGTTGTCAATTAAAAATAATTCAACATATGCGTTTCCATAAAATATAGCATATTTTTACCAACATTACAATAAAAACCTCTATCTGGACATATATATAAAAATTAATCTCAGTGTGAGCACACAAAATATTAAACGCTCACAAATCTTCTCAATACAGAACGAACGCCAGTAAATCCTGTATACTTCTCTCCTAACTTTAAGTAATGAGCGACAGTTGTTTATTAGCACTAATATCAATTAGTACTAAGCGACCACTTTTGGTAAAATATTTGATCCTCACCTTCAGTAGCAGATTTACTTCCAGGCTCAGCAATATCACATCCCTCCATTGCTTCCTCGTTAAGCTGAGAGAATACCTACGGCTTCTGTACTTTGTTAATGTCAGTAACTCTGTAGAAACGCAAGACGTTTGCCTTTTACATTATAACTAATCCAGACAGTAATGGTTCTGATCCAACCACAGAGGCTTGTCATTTGACAGTCATAAATGTTACTGCAATTTTCATACACGACGGTGTTTTGGTTGACATCAAGTCAACCTTGCTATATACATATTTACGTATGTATACTTATATCTGAGTCGTTTTAAATACCCAAACCACTTTTTGCTAGATGTATGTTTGGTTGAACTGGTTCAACAATCGTCACTTAGCAACAGGTATAGTGTAAACGTTTGCTGTCCGGCTATAGATAGCAGCAGCATTCTGACTCAAGCCCAGGAAGTTAGAATGTCCGCCGAAGCCGCTAAACCTGGGCACGAAAATTAATGCTTGCAACGCTTGTCAAAATGTGTAAGGACTTATTGGATTGGGCATTGTGAGGCACTATTTCAGTGAGTAAATCAGAGCCCGTAGTATCAAACCTTCTTGCCTGAACGGATGTACTAAACTGGTCGCGGATTGCAGGGTTGCTGGAAGACACCACTCAGGGTGTATCTTCCTCGAATACCGACCCAGTGTCCAAACTAATCGAGCTTAATTCTAAGCTAGTCTCTGTCTAGACTGGGACTGCGCGATTCAGCACATTCAAAGGCTGCTTGAAAATAACGTAAACTGCTTTCAAATATGTTTATCCTTTTGTCAGGTTAACTGCTGAATTTAGCATGCGTCTACAGCGGATCTCAATTAGAAATTGTTTCATTAGCTTGGCAGTCGTCTACAGTTATTCACAATTTCCATGAAGACGTGTCACCGTCGCAACGAGACTAGACCTTAACGTCGTGCGACGATTTGCATACCTCAATTACCCATTGAGCTATTCTGGGTGAGGCCTCCGGGCACCTTGAGAGCTACTTCTACCAGGTTGGTCAATAGTGAGAGGTCAGACAAATTCAGTCTCCTGGTCCTCCAGGTTGGGGGTTTGAAATGGGATGGCGTCCATTTCTGTACAACTAAATCATTGCTACCTCCCCGCTGCCTTGCGGACAGGCTTGTGAGCCAAAGGCTTTGGATGTGGGCCCCAATTTTCCTCCTGTCTAGGTCTGGGCGCCCTGGCAATATATCAGCCCGTATACAATCATGACATTTTTTCAAACATAGAATGAATCCTGCAACGGCCGTCGCGCAGATTATCCAAGGCCGCCTTATCTGCTGCATACAGCATGGCGGATACGTGAAAACATGCTACTGTTGGCGTCTTCCTTCTTTCTTTTCCACCTTTTCCTCTTACTCCCATCCCGACCCCCGTTACTATACTTCCTTCTAGAATTCCCAGCTTAATTGGCAGCAATCGAAGTGCCACTGAAGTAGAACCATCTGCAGCCACCATCCCATCGCACCTATCGGACGCCAATCGACAAAAGTCCCTTATAAGGCCATGCTATCCCGTTTCCATTGCGACAGTCAACGTTCGCACTCCAAGACAAGTAGGTCAACAGGCTGCACTCGCACACACCTGGGACTCACTGGGTATTGATGTGTGTTGTGTGTCCGAAACTAGGATTAATAACCCTAATAGGGTTGTTGAATTAACTGCACCCGGCTTATCCTCTCGTTATTGGTTGCACGCATCCGGAGACGCCGATACAGGACTCGCGGGTCAAGCTGTTGGAGGTATCATTCTAAGCTCCAAGGCTGAGCCATCGTTGGTTGATTAAATTCCGGTAACAGCCGTTTATGTGCAGCCCGTTTGACGACATCAGCTAAAGTTGATTCAGGAAGTAGCATAAAACGCAGTTCAAATGCTGTCAAGGACCAATTCTATCACGAACTGAACGAGCTATTACGCAGTGCTACTAGTTCAGATATAGTATTTGTAGGGGATATGAACACACAAGTACGGCGTCTGAGCTGTTCAGAAGTTTAGCTGAGTAGTGATTGCGGGCTTAACTCCGAACGGACTGACAACGATGAGCGTCTGCTGCAACTGTGTGCTGAGCATCAGTTGTTTCTTAGTAGCACTGCTTTTAGACACAGTGGGAGCCGAAGTGCTGCTTGGCGTCCTCCTGTAGCTGGCCAGCGATAGACCCAAATTGATCACATAGCCAAAAGTTACAGATGGCGTGGTTCCATCCTGGATTTCTGCTCGTACTGGAGTACCTGTGTCGACTCTGATCGTGCCTTGGTACACTGTCATTTCTTCATGAACTTTAGGGGAGGAGCAAACAGCGTCCCCACAGATTAGCAACGGAGAAATTGTCTCAGTCCACGGTCAGGGAAGCCTATCAAGAAGCACTTCCTACCGAACTTCCTCTGTCTTGTCCTAATGACACTGAGCTACAGTGGAATAGGATCACGACAGCCATGCACGACGCAGGAGCATCTGCTTGTGATAATGTAAACCGTCACCGCACGAGTCACTGGATGTCCGAGAGGTCAGTGAACCTGTTGGAAGCTAGAAGACACCTCCCGGCTGGCTCTGAACACAATGTGACCAGACGGGCTATTCGGTTTGAAATAAAGCAGAGCCTACGTGCTGTTAAGGAAGCCTGGTGGACCAGTAGGGCTCAAGAAATGGAGGAGGCAGGAGCAGTAGGCAATTAGCGCAAGCTCTTCTAGGTAATCTGCATCACTGGTCCCAGAAAACCATGCGTCAGTGAAACAATCAGAGAGAGCGCGGGTGCGCTGATATACACTAAGGTGCGTCGTATGGCTCGTTGGGCTGAACACTTTCGAGATCAGTTCAGCTGGCCCCCTGCTCCCGGACCTCTTCCTACTCAGGAGAGGAAGGACGAGCAATGGACGGTTAGTTTAGAGCCTCAGTCGGAGGCCGAGGTCCGTAACGCGATCACAGCCCTCAATCGTTTTCGTGCCGCTGGCCCGCATTCCCTCCAACCTGCACTATTTAAGGATGGAAGTGAGGTCCTCTGCAAAGCACTGACCACCCTATTCCAATGTATCTGGAATGAAGAGAGTGTCCCGGCTAATTAGAGCGAATCGATTATAGTGGCAATATACAAGAAGGGCAGTCGCACAGACTGTGCGAACCACAGTGGTATCAGCCTAACACCAGTTGTGACAAAATTACTGGCCTCGATTAACGTTCGTCGCCTCACTGCGGAACAGGAATTTTGGATTAGGAAAGAGCAGGCCGGTTTTCGTCCAGGACGTGGCTGTATAGACCATATATTCACTTTGCGGCAGGTGCTAGAGCAGCGCCACGTATACCGAAGACCGACAATAGCTGTGTTCATCGATTTCAATAGTGCGTTCGATCCCGTCGATCGATCGATTCTGTTCCAAATACTTGCGCGAAAAGGTGTTCCCACGAAATACCTGAACATCATTCGTGCTCTATACTCGAACACTACAGGCCGCGTCAGGGTCTGCAGTGTCCTATAGGAAAGCTTTCCGACCACAAGTTGACGTTCGTCAGCGTGGTCCGATTTCCCCCTTTCTGTTTAATTTCTTTTTGGATTCTATCATGGAGTGTTCCCTTGCAGAATCTCAAGATGTAGGCGTTGAAGTGCTGCTTGGTGAAAGATTAGTTGATCATGATTATGCGGACGATATAGTCTTGCTTTCGACCATGCTGGGGCGGCCCAATCAACCCTGAATGGCCTATCCAGAGTGGTCTCATTATTTGGCATGCACTTTGCACCTTAAAAGTGCAAAGTGTTGCTTCAGGACCACAAGCCAGTTGATAACCCCTTGACGCTTACTAACGAGGAACTCGAGGAGGTTGACCATTTCACTTATCTTGGCAGCTGCATCAGCAATGATGGGCGCATTGAAACTGACGTCAGCTCGCGCTTTGAAAATGCCAGAACTGCCTTCTTGAACCTGCGGCATCTTGGGCGACAGAAAGGCGTTTCTCTCCGTCTGAAAGGCCGGGTATACAAGGCCACAGTAAAGACCATTCTGCTATATGGTAGTGAGACTTGGCCCATTCAGTCTGAAACTCTGAGGCGGCTTCAAGTCTGTGATCCTCTTTGTCTGCGAAGCATTG